TGACGAATCACGGTGGGCGGCATGCGAGGGAAGTGCACCGCGGCAGAGCGTCGCCCCGCCCTCAGCCTGCAGGGGAATGTACGCCCACAAAATATATGGCCGAGGCACCACCAAACATGCATGCCCTTCTGTGCACCAATAAATAGGAGCGAAGGTGCGCTCTGGTGCGTGGGAGTCCACTCACATGGTTTTTATTTCCACCACAATAAAGGGTGAGGAATCATGTGTCACAGCGACGAATGGAGGAAACACCTATTGCAGCACTTTACTACCGAAGAGCAGGAACAACACAAACCGAATTATTGGCTGCACCAACACAAGAAAAACCCACAAGAGGAAAAACAATTGGGCACCCTGCAGAAACCCCCACACACGACCCAGGCATAAGGGTTTGCCCTCTGAAGAAGCTCACAGACATATGCAGACATCTCCCACCCTCCAAAAAGAAACACAAATAAATGGTTGCCTGCTTTATTCCATTCCCTGCGCTCATTTTTGCGTGTGCGGCTGCAGCTGCGGTGGTGGCCGCGCTTGCATGAAGTGGTGTGCGCTGAATATGAAGGAAGGCCAAAGGCGACTGAACTGTTTTTGTGATGAATATTGGCTGCGCTTCCCGTGGACCAACAATCCGCGTGGTGTACGGGGATTTTCTTTTTTGTTACTTTGCTGTTGTGTTGCTGTGTGTGCTGCACCCTCTTGTATGTGTGTGTGCGTACCCTCCGTGAGGGGTGCAGACACGACGGACCGCTCTTGCCGTATTTGCATGCGGTGGAGCCTTGTGTGCCGCTCCTGTTTGCTTTTTCCTCTTCCATCTGTGTGTTGGTGCTGCGGCAGGGCTGTGTGTGTGTGCCTGCTGCCGTGGAATGGAGTGTGTGCTGTGCGTGGTGTGCGGCGTACGGTGCATGCCTGGCTGCTGCCCTCTCCTCATGTGTTTGTTTGCCCTCTGTGTGTGTCTGCCGCACCTCTCGTCTCCCCTGTTGCTCTCCATGTCCCTCACTGTGCAGATCAGCTCCACACCACTGAACGACCACACTCACGATGATGACGACGTACCGTCTGCTATGCGCCCTGTTGGTGCTCGCCCTGTGCTGCTGCTCGTCCGTGTGTGTGACAGCAACTGGGGAAATGCCTCCACAAAATGCAGCGGGAGTTTCTGTCACAGGGGGGAATGCCGAGTCGGGAGAGGAGGCGAGTGCTCAATCAATTGCTGGTCTGGGAGGGGAAGGAAGTGGTGAACCGAGTGACGATTGTTCTGCTGGGAGGCTGGCCCACGGTTCGGGGGGAAGTGGCTCGGGTCGTTCGAAGGAAGATGAAGGTAAAGCAGAGGAATTAAACCAGCAGGGAGGAGCGCCTCCGTCACCACTACCAATACCACCAGCACCAACAGGGCCGATAAATTTGCCGAGGTCAGCGGAACCCGGTGAACCAGCGACCTCCGGTGTGACAACAGAACCACAATCGGCGCAGCAGCTGCAGTCACAGTTGCCGGCGGCAGGAAACCAAGGCGTTACGGGCGACGGTTCGCCAGAGCCAGGAACGGCAGCCGCATCAGGTGCCACGCGGAGCACACCAGCATGGGGTGACGCTGAGCCAACATCCCCATCCCCAGGCGTCCAGGCTGCTGCCAGCGGTCCGGGCGAAAACTCCGCAGCGGAGGGGACTCCCAACGGCACCCCGCCGTCTGCTGCCGCGGTGACGCACGACGACAATACCAGCACCACCGACACGGCCACCAGCGAGGGAAATTCTACGGCGCCAGGCATGCTGGCTCCACTTTCCTCTGCGCCCAGAACGAAGGCGCTGGAGAGCAGCGTCGGAAATGACGCCTGCTTCCATGACACCCGTCTGCATGCCCCGCTGCTGCTCGCTCTGGCTGCACTTGCGTACGCCGCTCTGGGCTGAGAATTGTGTGTGGGCTGTGCGTGCCAGCACTCAGCCGCGGGGACTTGTGCGCGTCTATTGTTTTCCTAAGTAATAAATACGAAAAAAATGATGATTGTGTTTTACTGTTTTTATTTGCATTCGCTGCCCTGCTGTGTGCTCCTTGCCGCTCCCCGCATCCATCACGTTGAACGCATCCCAGACACACTCATGTGCATGGCACGCACACAACTGTTTGCGTGGAATCACATTTGAGGATGGGTGCGTGCGCGCTGAAGCCATACTGTGCAGCTCTTTGTTTTGTGTTTTTTTTTACTTTTTACTTCATTGCTGTTCTTTTACCTGTGTTTTGTTTCTAATCGTTTTGTGTGTATTTTTCTGCTTACTTGCTGCGGGGCGTTGTGTGTTTTTGCCCTTCACTGGTTTCAACTGTCTCATGGTGTGTGTGCGCTGCCGCTGCTGGGCTGCTGCCATTTGTGACTGTGCGGTGGCTGTTGCGTGGTGTAGCGGCCGTTTCTCTCCTTTTGCTTCCGCTCTGCGTTGACGTGTCGTTAGTTTGTGCTTAAAGCTACACGCAAGTGACAGGAGTGATGGCGATGATGATGACTGGCCGTGTGCTGCTGGTGTGTGCCCTCTGCGTGCTGTGGTGCGGTGCCTGCGGTGGCTACGCATGGGATTTCGACAATAACAGTTCTTTGAATGAATATTATTACGGCGCATACGGTGTATACTGTAATGCTTCCCTCAACGCTACTTTTTGCGAAGAAAAAAGAAATGCAAGCAAAGGCGAAGAAACTGCCTTAAAGACGAGCACAGTTCAGAGCGAAAATGACGGTGGTCAATCGAGTGCCGGTGATTCCTCTGGAGAGCAGGAACAAACTTTGGAGGAAAGTGGTTCGGATCGATCGATAGGAAACTCAGGTGGACAAGAATTGAAAAACCCTGGAGAGGGAGAAGCAACGCCAACAGAACAATCACCATCACCAACACAACCATCAACGGTATCGGAAGATTTGCCGAAGCCAGCGGCACCGGGTGGATCAGAAGCCCCCGGCACGACGACAGAACTACAACCACCGCCGCAGTCACCGTTGCCGGCGGGAGGAACACCAACACCAACAACAGCAACACCGATTGCCGATGGTCCTTCTGGGGGGCGGGACAACAGTTCGGAGAAAAATGGTTCGGATGATTCGGAAAAAACAGACGCAGGCCCACAGGAATCACAACCGCCGAATGGAAACGTAACAGAAACACCAACACCAGCAACAGTCACCGCCGCTCCAACAAGTGCCACGAGGACGCCTGACGAGAGTGACGGCAGCCCCGCGGCCTCCCACACCACCTCCCCTCTTCTGCTTTTTCTTCTTGCGTGTGCGGCCGCTGCTGCGGTGGTGGCCGCGTGAGAGTGAGTGTGAGAGAGCCGTGCACCGCCCGCACACACTCGTCCTTCTCTCTCTGTGTGTGTGTCCCTTGCATGGACTCTCGCCCTCACCTCAGCCTAATAAGCACAAACATAATTTGTTTACGTATTTACGCATGCACACCCATGCAGGCCCGTTGGTTCTCTCTTTTGAGCCACACGCACCGCTGCCGTCCTGCCTGGCTGCATGGTGGAGCACCGTAACAGTTTTTTTTTTTACTTTTTCATTGCTTTGAGTGGGCGACCTCTCTCTCTCCCTGTGTGTGTGTGTGTTTTGCTTTACGGGAGCAATGAGAGTGTGTGTGCTGGTCGTCCCACGCTTCGGCTTCTTGTTTTTTTCTTTTTCTTTTTTGTTTTTTGTTTTTTGTTTTCTTCTTTGAGTCTCTGCTCGTGTTGTGGTTGAGTGCACTCATTCCACCCTTTTTATCAGTGGCTTGCATTGACTGCGGGCGTTTAAATCTCCTCTTTGTGTTCTCATACCGTTTCTTTCTTTTTGTAGAGGTGTCAGCCTCTTGCATCCTCGTCAGGCCATTACGTTTTTTCTTCCACATGCGCCATGCGTCGGTTGATCCACGTCGCCCCGCGGCCTGCAGTGCTGCTGCTGCTGCTTGTGATGATGCCTGCGATGTGAATTGCCGGCGGGTGTCCTGCTGTCATCCTGACGTATCCCTGTTTCCTTGACGATGCGGTGCGTGCCGGCGGCGTGTGGGCGTCCCCGGGTGTGGTGGGAGACGTGCCTCTCGGAGCGCAGGATGCGTTGCAGGTGTGCAGCGTCGTTTGGAGGGACCGATGGGTGCCCGTCCGCATCAAGGTGCCAACAACGGACCCGTGTGGCAGCAGGAGGCACTGCGGCTTCTCCTGGTGTTGCACAGCGAATGCATTGGACGGCGCGTTTGGCTGCGGGAATGGTGTTGTGTCGTCTGCGCACGGGAACGCTGTTGCCGAGGAGGTTGTCCCTGCTGCTGTCAAACTGCATGCGGATCGTCTGCTCGTGCAGCCACTGGAGGGTTCGTTGGTTGTGCCGTCACTCGCCACGGGCAGTGTTTGCAGTCGATTCACTGTGCCTGCTGAGCATTGTTCCGCTGGTGCTGCCAATTCTGACACAGTGCAGTACGTGGCTGCTGCGCCGGGTGGTGTGTGGGCACTGCCGTGCGCCACGCTGGAGGATGGCCGTCCCGTCGCTGGCGCCATGAACATTGCCCGGCCGCTTTGTTTCACGGACGCCTCGCCACCCGCCTCGCCGCGCACCTGATGGACCATGCTGTCGGGTTTGCCTGCCCGCACATGGCAGGCCGCGGCATGGTGAGGAATGCTGCCTGTGTGCGTGGCGGGGCGCTGTTGGTGGTGGTGCACTCGACGAGTGCCGCGATGGCAGCGAGGGAGCACCACGACTGCGACGATGTTGATGGCGTGGAGCAGCAGGATGGCGATGGGGACGGGAGGACGCTGGAGTCGCACCGGTCGCGGTGCCACGCGAGGGATGTGTGGATGGCAGCGATTGGGGTGCCGGCGACTGCATGGAGCTGACGCTGGCTGCATTGGCTGTCCTGGGCTGCATGAGGGTGAAGCGGGAGATGGCGGAGCCGACGCGTTGGTGCGGGAATTCGGGTTGTGCGCTGCAGCAGCAGAGGAATTGCTCCGCACTGAACATTGGTGAATATCTTCGCATGCTGTGCGAATTGGGCGTTCCCGTCGAATGCTGCGCGTCGGATCTGTATTCCAGTGGCTGGTGTTTGGGAGTGTGCATAAAATGTCAGCAGAGCGCCCGATGGACAGCTGCCCCATCATTGATCCCGCACTGGATGTGAGGGGTGCTGACGGTGTTATTTGGCGGGGAGAGTGTTTGTTTGCGGTGCCCGGGGATAGGCCCTCTTCGTGGTGTCCGGACACGCCTCCCACGAACACGACAGATGCGAGGGACCCGGAGGAGACGTGTCGGAGTGCTGCCATGCATGCGGCGTTGGGGTGCCTTGCCATGCAGGTGCGTCTTAGAGTGGTCGAAAAGGGCGGCGTCCGTTGGGTCCCATGCACGGACGGAGCGACGATTGCGTGGGCCACTCGACCGTACGATGAGGGAAGCGTTGCTTGCCGTGGCCACGCGCAGGTGTGCACGATATCCGCCGCCGCCGGCAGTCTCCTTCCGGTGGTTCCGTGGGACGGCGAGGAGAGGGTGTGGAGCAGGACGGTCCCACCGGCAATTACTGGACAAGGATTGCGAGGGGGCATCCGTCCCCGTTGCGGAGAGCATTGGTCCCGGCCGCGGCACCCCACCGAAGGATGTCGACTCGGCTGCACCCCAGAAGAATCCGTCGCCCGAGGAGAGGCAGTCGCCCCAGATGCCCCGACAGGCGACGGGGTGATCTCGCCCAGCGACACCGCGGGTGCGCCGCAGGAGGCTTTGAAGAAGAGCGGTCTTCCGTGCAACTGCGATGTTGCCGCCGATGGTGTGACGTCTGTTGTGGGACAACCAGCAGGAGATGAGGCCGCCAGCGACAGGGCCGGTGGCGGTGCCACAACCACGGGACCCAAGGGCCCTGATGCCGCTGATGCCGCGCAGGGCGCCTTGGACCCTCCGCGGAGCGATGATGATGCGGCGGTGGGGCGCGGGGATTGGGAGAGGGACCTGACGGACGCCCCGCCTCCGATCCACGGCAATGACGCTGCTGCAGCAGCTTGTCCCTGTCCGCCACTTCTTCTGCTTGCCGCTGCCGCCGCCGTGACACCACTCTGCTGAGCGGCGGCATGGATTCCGTCGCACGGCGATGCGACTGCTGTTGCCTCCTGCGTGGCCCGCACTCAGCAGTGGATGCAAGAGAGAAACAATCCATGCCAATTGATATGCCTTTCTCTTTATATACTTTCTGTTTGTCTGTACACTTTATGCCAGGGACATGCTCTATACACTCTGCCTCTCCTGTGCTGGCTGCCGATGTCGAGGCATCACGCACCTTTTTTCTTTTTGATGGTTTACGAGTACCAATCTGCTTGACTTCTTCTGAGGAATGCCGTGAGGGCGTTTGTGTGCGTGTGCGAGGGCCCTGTGTGGGCTGCGATTTCTCATTATTGTTTATTTATTTGCATTGGCTTTGTGTAATGATCCTTCTCTTCTCCTATTGTGTGTGTTGTGTGATGGGCGGTAAATGAAGTGTGTGGACGAGCCGAAGAATAGGTGCTTGTGACCAGGATGCTTGCGACGAGGGCTGGCTGCCTAAATTAATATGCATCCTGATAAAACGAAGACATTTCTGTGCGGTACTTTTTCTCTGTCTTGTGGTCGATTGGATGACCGCGATGGACGCAATCAGGGTGCCGATGGCGGTAGGACAAAATTATTTATTTATTATTAATTTTGCCTTCACAGCCAACCCCTTTTGATTTCCCACCACGCGGCGGTGTCTTGTGGCTGCAGGACTCCGAAGTCTGCCGCCTCGTAGGTCTGTATCTACATATCCCATCCGAATAGAGTGAGCGGCCCACAATTGTGGCTAACGGATGATATTTATATACATATATACACTTACCTGGTGTTAAGCTTTGAGGGTGTGGTGAATCCACTCTTGTCCCGCTCATCCTTTCTTATTCCTATCTGGTTTGATTTCTACCGTCGATAAACTCAGGATCCGGCGAGCGGCCCAGAGGATTATTCTGCTTTAA